TACTATAAATAAATAATTACAAATATAAATTATTATTATTATAAGTTTATATTTATAAATATTATTATAAATATTATTATTATAATAATATTATAACTCATGTGATTAATTTTATTAATTTATTATATATTATTTTAATTTTTTTTTATTTTTTAAGTATTGATTTTTCTCCTATAACAGTGGTAATTTGATTAGTAAAAAATTTCATTTGTAATAATCAATTTATAATGAATTCAATAGATTTTACTTATTTTAATTAAAAATTTTTATTATAATAAATATAAAAATTCAAATTTAAGTCAAATTTATAACATTCTCAAAATATATTTCAGTATAAATTTAAACTGTCAAATTTAAGGAGAAAGTTATTAAAAGTTAAATGTAATACTTACAAAATAAATATTTTAACAAGAAATAAACATTTAAAAAATTAATAATTCTAATTAAAGGAAAATTATATCAGAAAAATTTCACTCACAAATATATACAAATATATTTACAATTAATAAAAACTAAATATATGTAGATATATTTTATATAATTAATACAAATAAATATGAATTAATGTAGATTAATATAATTTATGTGGATAAATGTATAAATGAACAAATATATGTATCTGGATATATTTATCTCTAAAAATTTCTTGATGTAAATTTGAAGTGATATTTCAATATTTTAATTTATTTTTGACAATAACCGAATTTTGTTCTAATCTTAATTAAATTTTTTAAAAAATAATTAAATATTAGTTAAATTTTAAAATTTAAAATATTTTATTTTGACTAGTAAATTAATTTTTAAATTTTGGTAACAATTCAAAAATTTTAAATTTTACCGATTTTTAGTAATTACAAAAGTTTAATGATGAAAAATAACTGAGATGATATATTTTCAAAATGAATATTTTAGCATACAATTAGAAAAATCAAAATTTGACATATTTAAATTGATAAAAAAATGATATTAATTTTTAAATTTTGATAGCAGTTTAGAAATTCTAAATTTTACATATTTTTAATAATTGCAGAAGTAACAAAATTAGTAATAAAAAGTGACTGAAATGATATATTGCCAAAATAAATATTTCAGCACACAATTGAAAAGATTAAAACTTGATATATTTGAATTGATAGAAAAATAATATTAATTTTTAAATTTTGACAACAGTTCAAAAATTTTGAATTTTGTCAATTTTTAATAATTGTAGAAGTAGTAGAATTGGTTATGAAAAGTGACCGAAATGGTATATTGTTAAAATAAATATTTTAATATATAATCAAAAGAATTAAAATTTGGCATATTTAAATTGATAGAAAAATGATATTGATTTTTAAATTTCAGTAACAATTTAGAAATTTTAAATTTTGTCAATTTTCAATAATTATCAAATTATAATCAAAATTTATTAGAAAATTGTTGAATTTTGATCAAATTTTATGATTGCTGAAAGGCTTTATTTCAATTAGTATATAAGTATGAAATGTTTAAATAATGTACTAAAATGTTGTTTTAGTATATTAGTACTATTTTAAGAATATTATATAAATGATATTAATATAGTGTTATAAAATATTTTTATTTAATTCTTGATATATAGTTAGAGATTTAATGAAAAAATTTAAACAATTTATATAAGTAAATATGTAATTATCATTGTAATAAAACAAAATAGTAAGAATTAAAATATGATATACAGAATAGAAACAAGATAAAAATATTGATAAATTCAAATAATATTAACAATATGGATATTAATACTAATAGTAATATTAACAATAATAATAATATAAATATTAATGATAAAGCATAATTAAGAACATTTGTAATAATATAGTTAACAATTTTTTTTATAAGGTCATTCAAGATATAATAAACTGAACAGATATATATAAAATAAATTGTTTAGCAAGACTTTAACAAGTTTACTTATCAGGTGGTAGGTTTCAGACATGTCTTATAGGAGTTAGTTTAAATCTTATATTTTAAATAATTATTAGAATAAGTTATGTATTTTATATTATATTGTAATGTAAGAGATTTTTTCTTTTTCTACTTAATAAATTTAAAATAAGATCTCAATTTTCAAGAGTTAATTTTTTAATAACCACTGATCCAATTGTTATAAAATTTGACATTTCTATTTTTCTTAGGAAGGAGTCATAACTATTCTGTATAAAATTTTATTCACAATTGAAATTTTATTAAATGTCAATTCTCAACGTTGATTATCTATTTATACAAAATCAGAATTATAAATTTATATCAATGTAATTATATTTACAAGATATTTTATTTTTATATATATTATAGAAAGCTAATATAGTATTGAATGCATTTTTTATATTTTAAAATTGAAAAACAATAAATAAATTATAAAATAAATAATATTTCTATATTATACTTACAACTATAATAGGAAATCTTTTACATTTGTTATAAATATTATTTCTATACTATTTTACAATCAGATGTGATATTATAGTAACAATTTTATATGTAAATATATATTTTTAATAATACACTAAATACATCTTCAATTTTAACTGATAAATTGTAATACAGATATTCAATAATTGGATTTAATCAATTTATTTACATAATAGGTTGCATACAAATTATACAAGTTAATTTGTTAAATCAAAAAAATATAAAGAGAAAAAATAAAAAAGATAAACTTATCATAATTTGAGAACTACAGATTATTTTATCAATAGATTTGCAAAAGAATATCTAAATGTTATTTAGATTAAGTAACTTTGAACTGATATTTGTTTCTCTAATAATTCAATATTTGAATTAATATTATAATTACTATCATCTATATTATTATCATCATAGTCTAAATTGTTATCATAATTAAAATTATGAAAAATTGGAATTGAGTCATATGAAAAATTGACAAATTATTTGATGCAATTACATAGTAATTAAAATTTTCGGAACTGAGTCAAAGGCTTTTTACTTTTGATGACACGTATAAAGCACTATAATTCAAACTTGTAGGGTTACAAGTTTTTACTTTTACTTCAGATTAATTTGACGTGACATGAAGCAATTTTATACTAAGATATTACTATAACCATTCGAAATCCCACCTCTTAGGCTTGTAATTGCAGTTAAATCATCCTTCTATCATCGATATTCACCAAGATATTATTATCCAAAGATAATGTGTAGAGTTTTTACTACTTATTGAAGTTACGTTACGGGGAGCGATTTTCTACTAAGGTATTCCTATTACAATTGGAAAGCTCTTGTTTCGGACTTTCTAAAGATCATAAAAATTATCTTAATAATATCAATATTTGTCGAGTTATCATCGTCTGTAGACAATTTTATCTTACAATTCTGAAATATACAATTATTGCAATATGGTCAAACCCAACGGAGAACGATTTTCTACTATAGTGTTTTGGTATTATTTGAAAGCTTGAAATGAGAGCATTGCAATGGTAAAAGATTTTTTTATCACCGATATTTATTGAGTTATTATCATCCGAATTTAATAAATTCACTTTAGACTTGAAAACTTAATTCAGACTCTGGCCGGGCCTGAGTTAGGTCTAATCTTTTAAAGCTCAGGCCTATGAGGAGCTTTACTTGAGAATAAACTTTTTGAATATAACCATATTTTATAAAAACAATGTCAATCACTCATTCTTCAATCATTTATTAACTTCAATCATTTATTAACTTCAATAACTTCAATAACAATACAGCTCCTCTGATGATATACAATTTACCCGATATGATAAAAAGTGAATTGTATAATTGAATTTATTAGTGTGATCTTGAATGCACGACTCCGCTAATAAAAATTAAACATTATCCTCCTTTTTTTCAAATTGGGAGGCAAAAAATAAGAGTATAATAGTTTTGGCACCACTCATATCGCGAAACCAAAGCGCATGAGGCCATCAAAATAAAAGTTGTACTTTGTGACACAAGCTTTATTTATTTAAATTAAATAAGGTTATACCATAATTGTATAGTGAGGTTTTAATGTTCAGCTGTTTTATGTCAATTGTTTTTTTTATGTCTTTGTTACATTTATTCACATCTGTATTATTTAAATATTATTTATTCTTTTGGTGTGTTCTTTAAAAAGAATTTAATTATCTAGAACTTTATTTTGATGACCCATTACAATATTTACAATATTTGGAATACATGGCTATGGTCTTACATACGAGGTTTCTGAATCATGTGATTTAAAATAATCTATTGTCAGTGATATAATAAAGGTGACAACAAAAATAAACCTTGGTGTATTATCACTAGTGTGCTGATCTCAATTATCACATTATGAAAATGAAATAACTAACACCTGGTCAATTAAAACAATTTTATAGAAAATTTCACACATATTTGTACAAAAAATAACATTGAGCGCATATATATATTTCTTTTTAGATTTATCCTCCTGAAATAAAAAACCGTGCCGAAAAGCTCTTTTTTTTCAATTTATTTGATTTTTTTTTATATATAAAAACTTTTTTTTTTGCCTTATGGGTTTTGATGATTTATATCCACTTAAAAAAAAAATTAAAGGGCGGTGATGATTTTGGTTTTACCATAAATAATAAAGTTATATACACGAAGTAACGATGTTGGTTGAGTTGAGGGTGTAAATAAATATCGAGAACAACGAAAAAAAAAATTCTGGAAAATCCAGAAGGAAATGTAAAAAGCTGTTGTGCATGGGATGTTATTTAGATAAGAGAAAGGGAATCTAATTCAGAACTTTCATATAGTTGGACAACTTCTGTCCCCTTAATATACCAAATCGAAAATTCCAAACGTAGAAAGAAAGAAAACCATATACGGGATAATGTTAGTGATTACCCCGTTATAAAATTGATGAAATCCATCATAATCCCATAAATATATTAAAAAACGAAGAATTACGAAAAAATAACGAAATGCGAAAAAATCATAAACGAAAAATGAAACATAAAAAAAAAATAAATCTTGTTCGTTTTTTTTTACTCTGGATCTCAATTTAAACCTTTTAAGATCTCGTCTAGACAAACCACCATAACATTTTGTTTAACAAAGAATTCTTCCATCAGCATTTTTTGTACCGATTCATTTATGTCGAAACAACAATCACGCACGACGGTGATATTCATATCTCTGCTAAAAGCTGTTAAGATGGTCGAAAGAAGTACATCCCCTGTTGCAATACCAGCCAAAACAACATGGCGAATACTACGTGATTCAAGGATCATCTGGAGATCTGTATTATAAAAAGCATCTGCACGACGCCTCTATAAATTATAAAAAGCCAATACATCTCTAAATAATAGATTTTTGAGTAAATAATTTCAACGTAAGATGAAAGCATCGAAAAACTTACTTGAATCACTATGTCATTCTGTAATATAAAATGAAGAGAAATAATATTTAAATATTTAATAACTATTATGATTAATTATTTTATTAAATGATTCTCAAAATCTCCAATACAACTACCTCTCTTGGAACCATTCCATCAATAAACTCTGCCCCCTTGGTTCCTTCGATAAGTCGTCCTGTAGTTTTAAATTGTTCTAAATAACGACTGTTTAGATGAGGTGAAAGTTCAGGATAACCAGGTCGGAACTGTATTTAAATTTTTTTTTTTTTAAAAAAAAAAATTAAAAATGGAAATCATGGAAATCGATAAAAAAAAAAAAAGAACTAATTATTTTACCGAAAGTCCGACAGAGAAACAATTAACATTTTTCTTTTGCTTAGCTTGATGGACTGCATTAAATAGATTCCTTGAACTTGTTAAAAATTGGTTCAAGGTATTACTTGTTTGAATCCTATATAACAACGAGAGAGTTAATATTAATTAATAAGTTTTGAAAAGAAATTAAGGTATTTTATAACTTATTATAATACATACATTCCAATAACGTCATTTTGATAATCGCAAAATATAAATCTATGCAAAACATAATAAGTAAAAAATAAAAAATAAATAAAAAAAAAAATAAAAAATCGAATTAATAATTATTAAAGAAATTAAGATAATTATAATTTTATCGCGTACCCTGCGTTATCTAAAATTATAGGAGTTGCTGTTATGTTAGGTATCTGGGGATACAACCCGGAAGGAGTGTAAGGCCCAATTGACGTTGACGTAGAGGCCCCATATTGAAGATAATGAGAGTTAGAAGCGTTTCCCATCGTGAGTACATTTGTCCCATTCGGTCTGTTTGGAGTAGAAGATATAGATGATGATGGTGTGTAATTGGATGTGGGAGGCTAATTCCGAGTAATAATAAAGAATAGTAGAGAGAATAAAATTTTTTGTTAATGAAATAATGAAATGTTAAATTCAATGTGACAATAAAATATGAGTCACATTATGACGTCAACGGACAACAGAAAATAAGTTTATATCGCAAATAATTTTAAACTTACAAGACTCACTGGATTACTGAAATTATTATGGTCAGTAGGCGATAAAATTGATGTCCCTGTCATAGGAGTTGAGTGTGAAGTTACTTGTTGCATAGAAATTTCGGGTACACCTAGATTATCGCCACTACGAACGTGGTGACGATTTTTGAATTTCGAGATCCACCCGTTAGATGCTTGAAACTCATTTCGAAGTCCGTGTTGCTGCGCCAGTTCTAGAGCCTTCTCCTGAAGTTGGGAATCGCTTACTGCACTTCCATTTGTTAAAGCTAAGTTCACCCATTGAGCCAAAGCATCTTCAATTTGAGGAAACTTTGGCGACTTTTGGGTCTTTTGTTTGGCATAATTGGAGTTTGGGTCAATAGCTAACCACTTCTCTTTTTGTTTAAGGATTTTAGTGATTGTGCTACGGTCAAGTCCATACTCCTTTGCAAGGTCCTCGTCCCTGAGTTTCAAGTTTTCCCTTTTTTTTATGCATATTTGTTGCTTGGTAAGGGCGGTGATAGGAACTCGTTTCTTTTTTTGCTTCTGCTCTTGGGGCATTTGTATGAAAGTGTGAAAGTGGTGAGGCCTGTTCGCAAAAGTCACCTTGAAAACAAACAAGTGTTTTTGAAGTGTCCCAGATTGAGTATAATAATGATGTCACATTTATGACTAAAGGTAAAATCCAAAATTATATAGATCACAGCCTTGTGCCCTTGTGTGAAATTAACCAATCACTTTATAGATATCAAACGAACCACCACATTTTTTTTTCTTTTTGAGATAGATCATCACACAAACCATCACCTTTTGTTCTAAAGAATTTCCAAAACTAGAAAACAAACATACTCCACAAAAAAAGAAAAAAAAAAAAAAAAAAAATTCAAATGCATCTTTCTCGTTTAATAAAACGTGTTCAGGGCTTCTTTTTTTTTATGAATTCAATCTGTAACCTTTTCGGATAAAAGATTTTTGTTGGAAACGTTTAATAGAATTGTTAAAATTGATAAATTTTTTTTAATCAAATTATGAGAATTATTTTAAATTATTTTTTGAATTATTTTGGTCTAATTGTAGATATTTGAAGATAAATTAAAATTTTATACCTAAGAAAATCTTTTGTGAAATATTATAAGTGACAACAGAAGGTTTTGAATATCAAAAAATTTAATAAATTTAATTGGATGACAAAATATTATCCTTTACGAAGTGTAATCAATAAAATATCCACAAAAAGGTTTAACAATAGAAACTTAATTGTTCTTTGTAAAAATTTTTTATAAACTTCTCATGCTAATACAGATACTGTAAAGAAAGAATGTTATTAATGGTCACATGTTCGTGTTTGTATTCTGCAGAATTTGCGTGAGCATGATTATCTAACATCGCTTTTGTCCGAAATCCTTGTACAAATCCCAAATTTGATTCATTCAATTTTTTCGTTTCCTAAATTTTTAATATTATTTGTTCGTTTGGAAATAATAATTATATAAACTAATTTATTAATTTAATAAATTAATAAATAAATAAATAAATTAATAAATTTCTAAGTTTATTATATGTACAATGAAACAACTAAAATGATCCCTAACAACAAATATTACATAAGAACTATTTGAACGTCGAATATTGAAAAATAATATTGAAAATGTTATTGAAAATATTATTGAAAATGTTATAAAAATAAAAAAAAAAAAAATAATAAATAAAGTAGTTAATAATAAAAACTTAATCAATTTAAATTTATTTTTCTCATTAGAAGGTAAAATAGAATGATTATTCGTGAAAACATTCTAATTATGAGAATAATCTACAAAATTGCATTTTAGGAATCTGTGAATTTTCAAGATTCTTCAGATTTTTTGATTGTTGAAGGTTCTTCAACTGTTAAAGTTTCTTCGATTGTTAAAACTTCTGCTTCTCCACATATTTCCAAAACTTTTTCTGCATCCTCACTACTCATTTCTCCCAATACCTTATTAATTTTCTTTATGTCATCCGTTTTCAATGCTTCCCGAAAATCTTCGGGAAGAGTCATGTAAATTGGATATTTATCAGAATTTTCGTCTGGGATACGAACATTGAGAGAAGAATTAGGATCCGTGATTTCTATTTGAATTTGTTCAACTTGGGTTTGTTGAGGTTTTTCTTCATTCATAACTTTACAACGTTCAATAATACGTTCATAAGTCTCATTAACATCTTTGAGAAAAATCTCACGTGCTTGTGGATCAGGTGAAGAAATTCTAAAATTTTTATTCAATTTTTTATTCATTAATATTTGTATGAGATCAATAAATATTAAAAAAATTATTATTATTATTTTTTTTTTTTTATTTACCTTTTGAAAAATATAGTGACTCCGTCTTTACCTAATTTTTGACAGTATTGTAATAACCATCCTTGATGAACACACCTTTTGGCATATTTAGCTTTACCCTTCAATTGCGCTCTAAATGCTTCTCCCAGTATTTGATCCACAACTTCCTGAGAAACTACTTCAGGATGTTTTGTTATGAATTGTAAACTTTTGTCGTAATCATTAATTTCTGCAAATTGTCTTGCAATATCAGAAAGGACTAATGATTCCTCATCTTCCTCTTCCTCATCATCTCCTTCTTCCCCTCTATCATCCTTGTTTTCAAAAGGTTTCTATTTAAAATTAAAGTTATAACCATTATATAACCTTCTATATATTAAATCAAATATAAAATCTAACTTACATTCTTGTCATCTAGAGGTTTCATTTGTACGTTAGGATTTAGAACTTCAACATCTTTGGTTTTCTTTGCTGTTTTCTTTTTAGGTTTCGTCAATTCTGGCCTTTTCACAGTATTAACGACCTATATATGTATTTTTTTTTTTAAAAAAAATATGAAAATAAAAAAAAATGCCAATTTACGCTATAATCTATGTTTAAAAAAAAGAAATTTCATGAAATATATCTTACAGCTTTATCAAATCCAGTCTGCATATCATCCATAATAATCTTCTTTTTCCTTTCTACTTCTTCCTTTTCTAATTCAATTTTATTTTCTTTTTGAATATTGCTTAATTTTTCATAATGTTCATTCAATTTCTTTATTAACCCCTCTTTAACTTTATCTGGACTCTCATGTTTAACTTCTTCCTGAATTTTTACTAATAAAGCACTCATAATTACACCAAAAGGCAGTTGTTTTTGCTCTTTTTCCTCTTTTCCCTTTTCTTCCCCTTCAGGTTTCTCTTTTTCGGCTTCCAATTTTTGATTGGTTTCACGTAATTGCTCTATAGTTCTCATAAAAGAGTCGATCCCTTCCATTTCTAACTGCTTGACCATGTTACTTATTCTCTCAAGCAAACTCTCATTCTGAGATATTTGCTGTTTAAGAAATTCAATTTTTCGTGCCCTTTCTTCTCGTTTAGCGTGAATATCTGCTTGTTTCCATCTTATAAATGAAGCTTTATCAACATTAGGATGACACTCAAAATCGTCGTCGTCGCTAAGTTCAAGCTTATCCCATTTACTATAATCAATAGGCATAATTAATAAAATTAAAAATTAATAAATAAAGTTGAGAAAGTGGGATGTTTTATTTATTTATTTTATTTTTTTTTTTAATTGCGTGATCGCAACCAAAAACTGGTCAGCACTAGAAACATCCAGAAAAAAAGAATTAATTTTCTGCCTTGTGAAACAATCGTGAGATTTCGTTAGAATTCATTATTGGCAAACATAAATTTTAAACAAAGGCAAAGGATATTTTTTTATTTCATATTCTAAAATTGATTAAAAGATTAAAAATTTATATAGCAATAGAAATATAACAAAAATATAATAATCATTCGGAAAAACTGTTTAGACTTGCACGATATAAAAACAATTCGCGTTAATATTTAAACCACATAAAGAACTAGAATGGTTAATCACATGAAAATGAAATGAAATCTTGAGCATGGAATTCATGGTGGATAATAAAGACATCGCAGGAGATTAATTTGTGATTAATTTAATATCGGCGATCTAAAGAATTAAATAAAAAAATTATTAAAATAAATTAATTAAAATAAATAAATTAATTAAAAAATAAATTAAATAAATTCTTATGAATTTTTTTATATGAAAATTATTATAAAATTTACCTCTTCCATCCATGTGTCCACGATCATCATCTTCACGGGTTCTTTTCATACCATGAGTTATCCCATCGTAACCTCTATGTGGATGATTTAAGAGTCGGAATTGTTAAGGTCCCCAAATCGGAAATTGCAGGAATGCGGTCGAGCATTAGGGGAAATACCTTTGTCCTCGTGGTGCAACAGGTACATCATCACCACCAAATCCTTGATCAAAAAATGCGGGATTAAAATGTGGAGCTGGGTACCCTGGAGCTGCTAAATGATACATATGTACATATATTTGTTTATTTTAATATTTTGAACAAATTTCTATTCTTTTGATCAAAAAAAAAAAAAAAAAACTGATGATAAAAAAGAATTAAATTTTTATTAATTTACCATTAAATCCACCCATATTTGCTCCCATACCAGTACCCATGTTTCCACTCATATAATCTTCTCCATATCCTCCACGCATTACTCCACGCCCGCCCATCATTCCACGCCTAACTGGTCCAACAGGTTGACCTCGCATACCCATCATTCCTCCGCGGGACATCATAGGATTCATATTATACGATGCGTCTCCAGTGGCCCCAAATCCATTCATATATCCACTTCTGCCAGTGGTGGCAAACCCTGTATATGCTGCTGAAGGTGCAATTGGTGGTGCAAAGAAATCTCTTTGGCTAGTAACCATTTGTCCACCCCGAAATCCACCACGAGATTGATGAAAATCAATTGCTGGTCTCAAACCCTGAGGACGTGTGGGCAGATTAGCGGACGCTCTTTGTATGGATGGTTGTTGTTGCATTGCTTGACGACCTTTTGATGGAGGTTCTGAAATAAATATAGTTAGATAAAATTATAAAATAATCTTTACAAAATTATCGTTTAAAATTAGTTTACCTTTAGGGACCGTCTTGAATGGATTTCCATTAGCTGAACTAGTGAAGTTAACAAGACACTTTTTACCAGTGATTTCACTTTAATTATAAATTTTATTATGGATATAATAAATTAATAAATCTTGAATGTACCAAAATTTATGTTAATGTATAATTATATGAATGAGACTCACATTGATTCCAATCTATCTTGAACTTTACTGGCAGCTTCTGGAGACGTAAATTCCATATAAGCGACACTATTATAAAATTATTGTTATTGTCGCTATTATTATTAAGTTTTATTAATTATTTGAAATAAATTACCCTCTAGATTTTCCATTAACTTTATGTTCATAAAAAGTGATTTCTAATAAATCATTTGCAACTCCAACTTCACGAGCGACATTACGAAGATCTTCATCAGTGGTCCACTATATAGAAAGTTCAGAAAGTTTAGACACAATAAAGCTACATGATAATAAGAAAGATCTCTTGTCGACATTTACCCAATTTAAATCACCAATATATAATGCGTTTGTGGCATTTGCAGCCGCTCTACGCTCTTGCATATGTTGCTGTCCTACATTGCTGGACGAAGATACTCGCGGTATATTATTGTTCGTACGACCTATTATAACGAACAGCTATTTAGGAATCATTATTCTTCTTATACGGATATATAATTTCTCCTATTACCTTCATGAGGATTATGTGAAATCATCATTTGAACTTCTTCGTTTGATTCCATTTTCACTTCATATCTCTATATTAAAATCGAGATCAAATTTCGAGCAAATACATACAAATCAAAGCGATTATTTTTTGGAGTGAGAAAAAGAAAAAAAGAGAGCGAAGGCTGGTGAGTTCAATTGTGTTTTATTTTTTTTCTTTTTACTGATGCTTCGTACAATTTTCTTATACATTCTTTTTTTCTTATATACAAATATTGCCAAATGAATAATGTTCAAACTATCACCTAAACTTTTACAAAAAAAATTAAACGCAGACAAAAAAAAACAAAAGAAAAAAAAAACAGACAGACATGCAAACATAAACAAATTAAGAAATCGATATTGCAAAGTAAAAAAAAAAAAATAATAATAAAATAATAGCAAACATGAGAATCTTATCCTCCCATCCTTAAAATACAACACAGCGCAACTCAAGTATACATTTAATAAAAATAGAAACATTGACAAAAATTGCGCTGTGAAGTAATTACGAACCTTATCTCCTTCCCCAAAATCTGCGAACAAATCATCACCATCATCCTTTTCTTCATGTCCTGTATGATGTTCAGAGTGATCATAATTCAGATCAGTATCTCTCCTGCTGCGCTTTAATGGACGGTTATCATCTTCTAAAATCTCTGCATATAAATCGTCTTGCTATTTTTTTTTTTTTTATCAAAATTTGTACATCAATCAAAAAAATTTATATACATATCTAAGATTATTATTTAATTTACAAAACAGAATATGATTCAACCAAATCTTAACATACTACATCATTTGCACCAAAGTTATCGTCATTATAAATATCGAATTCATCCCCCATTTCAGTCATCGTATTTGAAATAAAAAATTTGACAGAAAAAAAAAACAATAAAATTACTCTTAAAGAAATTGTTAATTTAATTTTCAAAATATGTATTAAAAATTTTTTTACAAAAAAAAAAAAGTTTAGGTTGGAATGTTGGGAAGAATCTACACAGTAGAATTAAGCGTTATAACACTTTTTCAATTACGGATTTTTTGACCCAATAATATACAATATTATTCGTGCTACTGGGATGATCATTCTGTATGACTTGTTTCACTAAATGTTACAGAAATTCTGAGATTGCATACATAGAAGCATATCTAATTATCAGTATAACTGGAGTATTTGACTTTTCGTATTTGCAGAAACATTTAATTTGATAGAATTGAGATGTTAATATTGCTGATTGAAAAGAAGAACATTTCATAAAAAGCTTTCAATTAATTCAATTTGATTATATTAATTCATTGATCTATAAATAAAAAGTACATAACATTTGAGGAGGTTTGTGGTTTGTGTTACGAACTGGTCAGGACAAACAATTATCTATTTATAAAAATTCATGAAAACAGTAATTCCTATTTATAAATTTTATAAATCAAATTATACTTAAATTTTGTTATCAATTGAAATTCTATTTATGATAAATAAAAATAATTCTATTTTTTTTCATTTGACTATCCCTAAACGGTAAGCAATTCCCAGCCCACATAAAATTTTATGTTTGTGCGTGCAATGAAATTATTTTTAACATGAATAGCCGTTCATTAATAACTTTCAACAAAGTTACATGATCTTCGCGTTCTATTTTATTTTTAAAAAAAGTGCTGATATTACAAAAATTTACTATTTATCTTTAATTATCTCCTTGAAATAAAATAATAATAGAAAATATAGAATTTATCATGGGAAAAAATATTTGCTATTACCATTTTGACGATTATTAAGTAGCATTTCAACTTTAAATAAGAGCAAAAAAAACGATGTTATTATTAAATTTGATAAAATCTGGCTTAAATTTCGGAAATAAGTATCGCTCATTGCTACATATTAATAATAATTAAATGACAAAAATGCCATTAAGAAACTTCAAAATTGAGAATGACTGTGAAATTGGCACGCCAATGCATGTTCCTATGAAACATTGATAATGTCACAACATCATGAATTAGCATAAAACAATATTTGGATCCTTCATAATTGTTGCTATATAAAATTATGCGATTTTCGTTTTGATCGGGCTAAAAATATAATAAAATGTAAGAAAATGTAAGAAAATACAATTTTAAAATTATTGATTGAGAATAATATCAATTTAATCTTTGTGTATCATTAGATAATCTTTAATTTATAAAAGAAATTTAATAGTGTTCATTTTAAAATAAAAATAACCATCAGATTTGTGTATTATATAATTCTTAGTATTATAAAGTTTAAATGATACCGATGTTCGACAATTATTCTGTACATACGGCATCATTTCTTAAATTTTTATTATCGTCTTTAACATGTGAAGGAAGGTCTACAATTGCTGACATAAATAAAGAAAAAAATAGAAAAAATATTAAATACAATCATCTCTTTATTATTTATTTAGCAACGGTCCAAACCCCTGAAAGAGTAAATGAAAAATGTATTAAGATCTATAAAGATCTTTACATTGGCTTCTGTTTCAATGATTCTCTATCTATATATGAACACAAATTAAAACAATAAAATAAAATAAAATTAAAAATAAAATGCGAACTTGGACCAACAATAAAGAAAATATCTAATGGCTTCGATTGAATAACTAATTCAATATGTACATACAAAAAAATTAAAATATACAAAGAAAATTCTTCTTCCTCAAAAGACATTAATATAATCAACATTAACCTACTTTCTTGTATAGGTTGATTTTTTATTTCTATTGGTTATTTCCTTATTTCCTAAATTATAAGATCTATCAATGCTTCTTTATTGCGGGTTCTTTATTCAATCTTACTACTTTTGGTTTATACGTTTCAATATCTTCCCAGCGACCTGTAGGAGCTGGTGGTTCTATAGATAATTCTTTTGCAAGCTTTTTAATGTGTCTAAGTAATGTTCTCGCATAATAATTAGTGATCCGAATCATTTTCCAATAATCGAACGCGTATCATGCATACCTTAGTAACAAACACATTCGTGAATTTATTTTGATAAGCATAAATAAACATGAAAAGTATAAAATGGATCAGTTATCTCACTCATTTTCCTCATTTCCCCTTTTTTTTTTAAAAAAAAAAAAAATAAATAAGTTTCGTGTTGAACTGACGAAAGCTATATTTCACTCTAATTATCGGAATTTTCTAAAATTATCTGTAATTAAACAAAGGACTCATTGTCTCCTACCGAAATAATAATCATAATGCATGGAATTTTAAACATAGATTTTCACTAAATTTTTTCGCGTCCGAGTCATGAAATTTTTTATTATTTAAGATCCTACCCCTATACACGTTAAACGATTCTTGAACATGAGTGCACAGTTTTTGACCACAGATTTTTGGCGATGTCATCATTGCCATTCAGAACCTTGATGGTTTTAAAAGAAAAAATATTGATGCCTCATACACAGGTCAAACACAAAAGAATAGGTGGCGCAAATAGGAATTCCGATTTTAGCTGATTTATATATAGGATAAAATAGGACAGTTGATTTTTTCTGGTTTATGATATAGGAATTCCAATTTTAGCTGATCTATAATATAGGAATTATCATTTGGTACAGGAAATTTTTTTGTATTTGACTAGTGATTTCATGGTACTAGAAATAAATAAAAAAAAATAAACAACCTGATCAAAATCCAAATTCCCATTTTGGAACCTGATTTTTATGGTAATAGTTAAACCTAGTGATTTGGGCTAAAGGGTTTAGCAGTTTAGGACACAATGGGCTAAACTAAAAGACAAAATGTAGAAGGACTTTTTGCTATGGGTGAAACTTTTATTTACTTCCTTAGATTTAGGGTGGTTATTGCAGCAATAAGATTAATAAAATTAAAAGATAGAAAAAATATGGTCAGGTTTAGGATGGCTTAGCCTAAATCATTAGTCCAACCCCAACTTTGAACTATGGTTCTTATAGTTCAACACCAACATATTCTGGCACTTTGTTTATACATTGAGTCAAGAAACAGTTTCTGCTCTTCTTCTGCCCTTTCGGCCCTTTCTGATAATCAAAAAAAAAATAAATGAACTAATTGAACAAATATTAACACAGGTCAAATATAAAAGAATAGGCATGCCAAAAAGGAATAAGACAATCAATTTTATAATTAGAAATCTTTGATTTATAATTAGGAATTATAGATTTGAATGAACTTTTAAAATTTCCAGAGTTTTCAGAGTCTTTACAAAATAGTAATTTTTAAATTTTATTTGAAAACATTAATTTAGCAGAAAGTCAAGTTCTATTTACCAATATTTTCAACTTGGTAAAAAACTTAAGGCTCATTTTCACAGATCAAATACAAAAGAATAGGTGGTGCAGACAGTTCATAATATATATATATTATGAACCATCTTAACTTAGACTATGAACTGTCATACGACCGAACTGATTTTTGTGACACCGATTAATTCATAGTCTACTGACAGTACCCATAAACTATGAACTGTTGTACAATTGAAACAGTTTTTGCGGCACCGATAAATTCATAATTTACTATTAGTATCGACCCTCATATATCAGGTTGGTAATGGTGATGCAATCTATCATTAGATACATGATTATTATATTGGCAATTGTACCCGGTTTTCATTGTTACATCATATGTAATTTTCACCTAATGTATAGTCTGTGCCGGGAATAACTTTACCGACTATGAACTGTCAGTCATAAAAATTATACCTGACGATACATTCAGCCACATGTCGTCATTTGATACCATATGTTGGCTTATCATTCTCAACTGATTTCTATTGCAATAAAATATCTGAGGTAGGTTATGCTGGGAAAGAGTTGGTTGTAGGTTGTTTCCTATCAGATATATGGTCCGATAACAAAAGTTTGCTACATGGATAAAAAAATATATCCGATGATACATTCAGTCACGTGTCATCATTTGTGGACCCAATGTGAAGGCTAATTTTTTCAAATAATATAAGTAAAATGTATACTCTATAGTATTATTTATATCTAAAGAAATTGATTCTTCATCACTTTGAAGAAATTTTATAAGCTTTGCTTTTATGTCATTTTCAATTTTCTGCCAATTTTGATTAATATCTTTTTGAGAACTCATTTTGTATACCGCATAGAATACTTAATGGAAAAAATAATATTATCAGATACATGTTATCAAGTATATTGTGAAAATGTTATCTAACCATACTATTGAGTATGTTGTCAAATCGATTTTGCTCATGCTCAAAGTCATAAAAAAGTGAGGCAACTTTCATTTTTGTTATATATATTACTGAAGTTATCTACCATGACCACATATCCGAAAACATATCATCGAAATGGGTAATAACTTCCATTTTTCTTATATAATATTACTGAACTTATATATTCCTGACCACATACCCAAAAACATATGAACTTATCTATCCAAAAATATACTATCAAAATGTGTATATAACTTCTATTTTTCTTATAATATATTACTGAAGTTATCTACCCTGATCACATACCCAGAATACATATCCAAAAATATATCATGGAAAGTGAAGTGTTCTCCCATATTTATTATATAATATTACTGAAGATTACTTCATCTTGACTTATCCAAAAGTATATCATAAAAAGTGAGGTGTTCTTCCATATTTATTATATAATATTACTGAAGATTACTTCACTTTGACCTACCCAAAAACATATCACTGAAACGGGCATATTACTTAAGTTACCTATTCTGATTACATATCTAAAAATATATCTAAGAACATGTTATAAAAAAGTGGTGCGTTCTTTCATTTTTATATATAATATATTTGAAGATTATACCATCTTGATCTACCTGAAAACATGTCATCAAAAGTAAAGTGTTCTTCCATATTTTATATATAATATTACTGAAGATTACTTCACCTTGACCTAGGGTTGTTAACCAGAGCATAATGTTCTGACATCAACCCGGGTTATGTATCACTCCGTCACAGAGCGGGTTAAGATTTCTAATTTTTTGTACTAACCTGGAGCAAATTATTTATTATAACCCGGGTTACTATATAATTTTTGCTCCGGGTTGCTCCGGGTTACTCCAGGTTGCTC